AATCAAACTGACTTGATGGCATCTAACAACAAAACTAAGTAACAAAACCACTGGACTCTGGTTAAGCATGGAGGAGCAGTGGTGGGTCAGTGGTAGAATTCTCACCTTCCATGTGAGAGACGTGGGGTTCGCTTCCCAGTCAGTGCGCCTCATAATGCCGAACAGGTTTCAGCAGAGCTTCCGGACTAAGACAGACTAGGAAGAAAGGCTTGGAGATCTACTTCCTTTCTGAAACCAACCAATGAAATGCTCATGGATCATTCATTGTGCATGGGGCCCCATGAGTTGGGGCTGACCCCACAGCAGCTCACAACAACAATAATGCTTAAGTACAGTTAGCTACTTGTTTCTTATGTTCAAACGTCATACATCTGGGCATTGGTGATTTTTATGGCCATTCTGACACACAGAAAGAGCACTGGATGGGGCTCTAGGCCTGGCTCTGCTACTGGCCAGGGTGAGGCTTTGAGTCTCTTCAACTTTTCTCCTCCTAACTCCCTCTTGTGTCAAATGGGAGTGAGCTTAACACTCCCTGTTCCTCATAGGGCTATTGTGAGCAGAGATTGCGATAAAGTAGGTCAGAGTGCTTCGGGCGTTTAAAACGTTATACCCGTGCATGGGATTTGTAGTATGCCAAGGCTAGGGAATGCTCCTTAGAAAGAAGGATGGCAAGACTACGTCTTACATACTTTGGACATGTTATCAGGAGGGATCAGTCCCTGGAAAAGGACATCATGCTTGGTAAAGTACAGGGTCAGCAAAAAAGAAGACCCTCAATGAGATGGATTGACACAGTGGCTGCAACAATGGGCTCAAGCATAACAACGATTATGAGGATGGCGCAGGACCGGGCAGTGTTTTGTTCCGTGGTGCATAGGGTCGCTATGAGTCGGAACCAACTTGATGGCACCTAACAACAACAGGGAATTCCCTTCCTTTCCCTATCAGGGAAAGGAAGGAATGAGAAGTCCTTACCTGTTTCACCGGTAAGAAAGGTTTAGACTCATCCTATATTATGTTAATGACGAGACAGCAGAGGGTTGCGTAAGAATGCTGAATGTGTCAACATTCTTATTGGAAAATTAACGCGAGGTTTAACCGTCATTACTATTAGATAAACATATCTCACTGGGTGTTGTTCCAGTCTGAGGAGTCACCTTGGCAGGCACAACATTCATTTAAATTATATTTCCCATTCTTCAAAATGTTTGGGTTTTTTTTTTTTTTTTTCTAACTCCTCTTTTGGAATTGTTCCGAGAGCCTCTGGCACATTCTTCTGTACATATCTGAGGGTGACACATTTTTGTCCTTTGTGGATAATCCTAATTTTTGTACACAGCCCAGAGTTATTTGGCAGTAAGATTGGTAAATAGGCTCAGTCATACCATTTTTTAACATTGAAAATAAGCTGAGCCTGCAAGGTAAGGAGCCCCCTCCCCTTTTTTTATGTTTCCAACTACAAATAGGTGTCAAAACTTGGCAGCATTGTTGGAAAGGGTTTGTTCCTTCTTAAAGTAACCACATTAAAGGAGAAAACTCATTTGGAAATGTATTTCTACATTTTTAGTCATACCTTTCATCTCGCAAGACTTTTGCCACTAGACTTTGAGTTTCCAGAAAGAAAAGAGCATTGCAACTAATCACTGTTACAGTCATTTGATCACATCTCCACTGGGCTGCTGAATATCTGCTTTGCATACGAATTGACTGGCTAGCAACAGCACAGATGTTTCTAATGAATTAACATCTGGGTCTTTTGGAAACATAGTACCCAGCAGATTCAATTTTAACCCATATACTCTACACTCCCTTAAAAAGTCTGGATTTTTTTTTTTCAGTTATGAAACAAAACAATTAGAAAATTAAAATGTTACTAGTATCACTGCGATGTAAACTGATGTGATTGCTAAATTGGCTTCTCCTGCAAATAATTTAAATTGTTAGTGTTATTTTAAAAATAAGCATAATGGTCCTTTCATTCACTGAATAATGCACACAGCGGGCACTGCGATGTTAAATGATGCTAATGACTTTTCTTTTATGGAAAATATGTGTTCCCTAACTCATTGTTCTCTATTGTGGCGAAGGTCACATAACATAAAGTTCACCATTTTAACCGTTTTATAAAGTGTACAATTCAGTGGCGTTTAGTATGTTTACAATGCTGTGCGACCATCATCACTGTCTAGATCCAGAACGTATTCACCACCTCGAAAGGAAATCCTGTACCTATTAAGCAAGGAGCCCTGCTGGTGCAGTGCTTAAGCACTCAGCTGCTAACCGAAAGGTTGTTGATTAAACCAACCAGCTGCTTTGTGGGAGAAAGATGTGGCAGTCTGCTTCCGTAAAGAGTACAGCCTTGGAAACCCTATGGGGCAGTTCTACTCTGTCCTAAAGGGTCACTGTGAGTCAGAATCAACTCAAGGACCGCAAGGAGTCTCCCTATTAAGCAGTCACTCTCTAGCTCCCCTCCTCCCCTTCCCCTCCCCCTGGCAACCACGAATCTACCTTTCTTCTCTGTGGATTTTCCTATTCTGAATATTTCATATAAGTGGGATGATTCAATGTGTGGCCTGTTGTGTCTGGCTTTTTTCACTTAAGTTTTCCAGGTTCACCTATGTTGTAGCGTCGGTCAGTACTTCATTCCTTTTACAGCTGAGTAATATTCCCTCATATGTCCCTAGGTGTTGAAAACAGTTAAATGATTAACTGCATTCGAGCTGAAAGATTGGCGGTTGGAACCCACACAGAGGTGCCTCAGAAGACAGACGTGGCGATCTTTTTCCAAAACGTCACAACCTTGAAAACCCAGTAGAGTGCAGTTGTACTCTGCATACATGGGGTCACTATGAATCCGAATTGAATTGACAGCAACCAACAACAGCAACAGTAAGTACATTACCACATTTTGTTCATCCATTCATTAGTTGATGAGGATTTGGGGTGTTTCCACCTTTTGGTTACTGTGAATAATGCTGCTGTGTACATTTCATGTACAAGTTTTGTTTGAATGTCTGTTTTCAATTCTTTGGGGTGTACCTAGGAGTAGAATTGCTAGATCATATGGTAATCCTATGTTTAACTCTTTAAGGAACCACCAAACCCCTCGCTCATTTTTATTTTCACAGTTTACAAGGTGTCTTGATCATTGGACAGTTAGAGGCTGTTGGACAGCTGCAGCCAAACCCCAGGCTGGGCTCAAAGAGGTCTCTTTTCCAGAAACACTGATTCTTGCAGCCAGTCTCGATCGGAGCCAGGCTTGTTCCAAGACTAGGTTACAGGCAGGGCTTTGAACAGCTTTCTCTGCTGCTCTGCATGTCACAACATGAACTGGCTGGGCAGGAATACCCTCTTGCCTTCTAGGCATCCTTGCTTCTCCATTGTGTAGCGCACACTTTTGGAAGAAAAAAAGATGTTAACTACCTAATGTATAGGCTTCCCTCCTCCTGTCTTTGCAGCAGAGTTCAGATTAGCCTGGAATCCGTGTAGGAGCCATGCTTGGGACCAATGCTACGCCCTGTCCTGGACGGAACTTAATCTTTCATGGACTCGCTGAGACTAGAAACTGATCTTTCACCCAGGGTACAGTTTTACCATACATTTTGCCTGATAGCACCACCCAGTCTTCTGACCCTATCAACCCACAGGTACACACGAGTGAGCCCATCCTACTTTGTATATTGTAGATTGTCCACCCGTGGGCTTGGCTGGGCAAAGGAGATAACCCTACTACAGCCGTTGTTTACTGCAAACTTTCTCAGTCATGAGGCTGCTCAGAAATTAACCCAACCCCTAACAGTAACTGATTAGCACCGATTTTTAAATTAAACCTGCTCATGAGTCTCTCCAAGTCCTGACCTCTTGCCCCAATTCCCTAACACACAGGAAGTTTCCACGCTGGAGGAGCCCACAGCAACGAGCATTAGGTTGCACTGCTCCAGACAGACAGATTAAAACGGTTTTTTCCACTTCAAACTGAATACTAAGAATGAAGACGTCGGCTTCCGGGGTCCTTGTTTCACTAGTCTCCCTGCCAACCTAGTTGTCACTTGTCAGGCTTTGTACTCCAGGCAGCCTCTGGCAGCAGGTGTCCTGCTCTGAATCTGCTGTTAGGGCAGAAAAGTCCCTTGGCTGGTCATATCCTCTATAATCCCGCAGGAAACCTAAAGTGTGCCTGCTCCCCTCCTCGGTGTGTTTGCTTATCGCTTCCTTGTAGGGAAATTTGCATCATAGTGTCCGGTTCGGAGATTTTCACCATGACCTCACCCTCTGCCGCTACCATCCCGATTGTAGCGCTGCCGAGCATTACGCAGCTCGGGCGGGGATCCACGTTAGGGAGCTATTAACAAGCCCTCCTAGCACATGTCAGATTAATATCAACTCCAGTTCTTTTTCCCTAAAGGAGGACACTTGCAGGTGTCTGAGAATGCCAACAAGAGCTGGATGGAAGGATTGGCGATCTTTGCTTATCGTCAAGGGTGCCACCGTAAGAAAACGCACCAAAAACCTTTCAGGCTCGCGCGCGCTGTTTAAATCACTTTTGACCCAATGGCTTCGAAATAAGGCGCGGAAACGGTGACAGCAGGCGGAAGGCATGAAACTTGGGAGAAAGGGCGGCGGGAGCGGTTGGGGAGAAGAGGGAGCCCAAAGTGCAAGGTCTAGGACCCGGCAGTCGGCTCCAGGGAGCAGGCCTTCTACCCAAAAATAGGCGCAGTTTATTAAAAGGAAACAAAGTCGCGCTCCGCAGGCGTCCGCCGCGCCCACTGCGTCCCGCCCAGCCCGAGACCACGTGACGGCGACTCCCGGCCTCTTCGCGCGGGCCCGGCGGCGGCCGCTGGCACTTGAGCGAGCGAGCGCGTGATTTGCCGGCCGGCGACGGCCAAGGGACTGAGGCTGCGGGCTCTAGTGTGCGTGCGCGCCCCCGGGAGGCAGCGGGCGCGCGCACGCTGCCGGGGCCACCGCCCCTCCCGGGCCCGCCTCCTTCCCTCCCTCCAGGCTCTCCCGGCCCGCCCTGCCCAGCTCGCCCAACGAGTCAGTTCGCTCGTTCCCTCCCCTCCCCGGGCGCGCTCGGGCCGCCGGAGCGCTCCCCGTCCTCGAGCCGCGGAGTCAGAGCCGCCCGCCGCCCGCGGAGGAGGTGGAGGGAGCCGGAGGGGCCCGCCGAGGCGGCGGCGGCGGCAAGATGGCGGACTTCCTGCCGTCGCGGTCCGTGCTGTCCGTGTGCTTCCCCGGCTGCGTGCTGACGACCGGCGAGGCCGAGCAGCAGCGCAAGTCCAAGGAGATCGACAAATGCCTGTCTCGGGAGAAGACCTATGTGAAGCGGCTCGTGAAGATCCTGCTGCTGGGCGCGGGCGAGAGCGGCAAGTCCACCTTCCTGAAGCAGATGCGGATCATCCACGGGCAGGACTTCGACCAGCGCGCGCGCGAGGAGTTCCGCCCCACCATCTACAGCAACGTGATCAAAGGTGCCGGGTCGGGCTCGGGGCCGGGGACCGAAGACCAGGCTCGGCGGCGCTCGGCGCCGGGCCGGGCACCGCCCTCGCGCACTCCGTGTCTCGCGCAGGAGTTGGGCGGGCGGGAAGGGGGCGCGCCCAGGGCCCTGGCCCTGCCAGTCCCGGGGCGCCCTTGCCCCCTAGGTCAGGGAATGCTCGAGGGCGCCCCGCTTTCCCCTTGCTGCCCCCTTGGGGGTCACGGCCGGTCCCCACCCCCACCCCACCGCCGGCCTTGGCCCTGCCGAGAGGGAAGTTAGGAGAGCCGGGTGCCTCGGGGTGCAGGTGACCTCGCCTGTCTTTCTCTTTCCCGGCGAGCCTAGAGTACCCGAGAGTCGACCCCAGACCTTGCCCCCTTTTCCCCCGCCCTAGAGCTGTCGGCAGAACCTCGCTGCCCGGGGTGGGTGACCTGAGTCGCATGGGGTCAGGCCCACTCCACCTTTCGGCTCCCTTGGCCTCCTCCTGCGCAAGGGAGTTCTGGAACCGTTGGCAATGAGGACACTTTTGCCTGAGACTTGTCAAGGGCGGAGGGGTGACAGCTTCTGGGACTCTCTTGGGAAAGGATGTGAAACTGGAGGGTGTCATTTTCACATTGCTGGCACCAGGAAAGAGTAGACCTATACAGTTACTCTAAAAAAGTCGCGTCAGTGGTTTTTCACCTCGTCACAGTCAGGCAGGATGTTTACCTGTAATGTGTGTGCAGTTCGACTCTCCTTTTTGCTGAATAAGAGGTGGGGGATACGGCTTGTACCACCACTTGCTTCTACTATTTCGGTGCAGTTGCGTAATAATATTAAGAAGTTTTGGCCTAAAGGTGATGCCGCTCCTGTGCAGGTTGGGTCGCTGAATTAGCATGGGGTTGGATCATAGGCTCTGCTCTGCTTCTGTTTGACAGTATTTTTTTTTTTTTAATTAAAAAGTTACACTTTGTTCTTAAGTGAGAAATACACAAGATTTTTATTTCTGGCGTTTCAGAGAATTAGAGACGATAGTTTTTTTTTTTTAATTTTGTAATTGGAATGATAATTAGCATTCATTTTTCTTACTATCAGATATTTTCAACATGAAATACTTCAGATGCATCAGGATTCCCTGTTTTCTCTGGGTAGCAATTGTCTAGGAGTTTGCTACAGATTTCAGATCTTTTCACGCAGTGTTTTTTTTAGTGGGATTTTTGTTCAGGAAGTCGTGAAGTAACTCTTTCAAGTCGCTTTTTTTTTTTTCTCCCAGGGTTTGATAGAGGAAAACTGCCCCAGAGAGGGAGGCCGTGGAGCTTACAGACCCCAGTGAGCTCTTAGCCCTAGTACCTCTCCAGTTAAGCTGTGAAAAACAGTTGTATTTACTCTGCCTTAATGGTTAGCACAAAACCTAATTAAGGTCTGTTTCAAGGCCACTACCTCTGCCTTGCCAGTGCTTAATTGAAGGCACTGATGCAGCTGAACTTAAGAAATGATGCTAATGAAGAGTCAACATTTTAACTGATTATGGGCCCCAGAAACAACTGGTTCTTAATGTATACTGTGTCCTAAATGAGACCCGTTTTTAGCGTTGATTATGAGAAGAAGTCATTAGATATTAGTGTTTTTTTGGGTGTTGGCTTGACCCAAAAATTGACAGCGAGACAATTTTTCAGTTATCCAACAAATGACTTTCTAATAGGCGTGTGACTGTTAAGACGCTGGCGGTTTAGTGATAGAAATATTGGGTTTGAACTAACCTCTGTCAGTTGCAATGCCTGTTTTAATATCATTTTGCTGTTGATCTTGCTTCCTTTTAGGGAAATCTAAGGCCATCCTGTGACTTACATTGATTTAAAGCTTGATCTGGGAGTTTTTGAGTTTTTAATGTGTTCCTAGAAGACTCAGTGTTGGGGTTAGACAGGGTGCTTAGGGAACAAACAGAATGCAGACTGATAGTGCTTAGTTCTTGGCATTTCATAGACGAGCGTCTTTTGGATGGACTCCGAAGATTCGGGCTGCAGCCCTTTCCTTCAGAACCTGAACAGCAGGCTGTGCAGCATACTTTCTTTTTCCTTCAGTGGTTTTAGCTCTCTTGTGACCACTTTCTTCCCCAGAAGTTATTTGGTAAATGAGAACATGCTAAAATCCTTCAGAAAGAGCAAGCGTCTTACAGTATTTGCTCTTCGAGGCTTTCATTTTAGGAGTGTGAGCGACAGTTTTTAACCTCTGAGAGGTTAAGGGTGGATGTTTGACGTTGGTCTCCGTGTTTGGAGGAGGTGAACCTGGAGTAGTTAAGAAGTCTGAGAAAGAAAGAAATACTAGTGTTTTTTAAGGAATAAAACGTATGAGAATATTTAATGACTCCTCATACTTTTTTTTTTTTTTTTTTTTTTAAACAAAGGCATGAGGGTGCTGGTAGATGCTCGAGAGAAGCTGCACATTCCTTGGGGAGATAATTCAAACCAACTCAATGGAGACAAGATGATGGCATTTGACACCCGGGCACCCATGGCGGCCCAGGGAATGGTGGAAACAAGGGTGTTTTTACAGTATCTTCCTGCTATAAGAGCGTTATGGGCAGATAGCGGCATACAGAATGCCTATGACCGGCGTCGAGAATTTCAACTGGTAAGAGATTTGCTTTTTTTGAAATATTGTAACTTTATTTTAATGACATTTAATAATACTTGATGTTAGCACACTTTATTCAGGGACTTCCACAATACAATGATGTATCTAGAATCATGGCCTAAGAAATTTGGATTGCTATCTATCTTATCTATCTGTAAGCATTTTACTAAGCAAGATAAAAATAAGGTAAACTCCACAAATTTTTGCAGAGCTATTATACTTAGTCATTATTCCTTTTTCAAAGAAATAAGTCTCTTAGGTGCTTTCTTCTAATTTTGTTCTTTTAAAAAATAATTTTCTCCTAATTATAATGACAATATTAAGCCTTCTAAAAAGTTGATCTTTTACTCTTGGAATAAGAGTTCACTAACAGTCTAGTTGTTCAGATGTGCTATATAGTTATCAGAGGTACTCATTTGATGACACAGGTTAGTTTAATATATATTGTTGTTGTTACTGGGTGCCATTGAGTCGATTCCAACTCATAGCGACCGTATAGGACAGAGTAGAGCTGCCCCATAGGGTTTCCAAGGAGCAGCTGGTGGATTAGAACTGCCAACCTTTTGTTTAGCAGCCGAGCTCTTACCCACTATGCCACCAGGGCTCCAGTTTAATGTATAGAGGGATTTAAAATTTGTAATCATATTTAACAGTAAATGTGGTTTTTATATGTTTGCATTTTGTTTTTTTTAGGCTCCTGAGCACACTGTATAAAATGTTTTTCCTTAGAAAACGAAGTAATTTATTTTACATTTATTTTTCCCGCTTTGCCATGAGCAAGACTACCCATAAACACCATGTAGCAGTTACATGGCATTGAAGAGAGGATAGGAAAAAAATCAGATCTAGGTTAAAGATATACAAATAATAATCAGATCGGTTTCTAATGAAGTGATTTTTAATTTAATTGTGAATGCTTTGATTGTATTCTGGGTTTTATTTACCAAAGACTGGAAAGATTCCAGCAGTGATAGCAATCTAGACTCCTATGCAGTTTGGAGGGAGTTCAGATCCTAAATGTTTTACTGTAACGTGATCAAAATAAAGTGACAGTTAAAAGTAAAATCACTTAGAAAGTTGTTTGATGATGTCACCAGCATTAAAGTGATCCACATTATGGGTGTGGTTACAAAATGATGTGCATCCAGCAGTCTAGAAAAGTGTTCATGACAGCTTTTAAAAAAACTGACACCTTAAGCTTTATTTTCTTTGAATTTTGGCCCTTACATGTGCTTGATTAAGTTCTGTCTTACATTGTCCTCTTTTATGTGTATCTTGTCTCCTCTTATTGAGTAATTTGTCCTTTCTGAACCAGAAAACCAAGCCAACTGCTGTTAAGTCGATTCCAGCTCATAGTGACCCTGCAGGACAGGGTAGAATTGTCCCATAGAGTTTCCGAGGCTGTAATCTTTACATCTTTCTCCCGAGGAGCAGCATTGCCTCCTAGTAGAATTCCAACTCATAGTGAAACCATAGGACAGGGTCACTCCCACACAGGGTTTCCAAGGGTGTAATCTTTACATTTTATTTATTTATTTTTATTTATTTATTTATTTAT